CAAAATGAATCACCAATGATGTCAAATTCAGTTTTATTTTCTTTACTATTGATTAGTAAATAAAATATTACATTTTTGTTACTATCGGCATTTTTTTGTTGTTATGTTTATGAATTAAAGCTGCAGTCTAAATTTTGGCGCTCTAGCGGTTAATAAACAGTACTGCATGCGTCTTGCGGAGGAACATTGTAGCCGGAGCTACTTCTCTCTGTTTATGTCTGAGACGAATCACGCAGGTACTGGGCTACTCCGCAGTCTGAATTATTATAGGTGTATGAATGATTATAGGTGTACTGTAGTGATTGAGGACAAGCCAAAAACACGGTTTGGCAAATGGATTGATGATGTACTCGCTTATTATATAAAGTTTGTAAATTCTGAACACAAAAATGTTATGGACTGCCGCTTTAATACATTTTTTTGTAATGGAATTTTTGCAGACCATGATATAACCCTCTTGTGGCTCACTGGGAGCCCTTCAAAACCCCTGCTTTTTAAAAAAATCAATACTTTGCAGTATTGAATAAAATACTAGTAAAGTGTTTACTTATTGACATTTCAAGTTACATTATAATTTATATCATAATAATTGTAATTTATGATATATTCCCTGAAACGTGTAAATCAGGGACTGCTTTATCCAAGACAGTGCTTGTCAAACCAAGGTGTCTTATCAGTCAGCATAAATGAGGAGCACATCTTTAATGCCTAAAAATGCTGTGTAGTGAAGAACTGAACATGCTTTATCATTGATTTGTTGACTAATCTGGGTTGCCTGTGTTTGTGCAGGCGTGGTGGTGTGACGGCTGGATCGTTCTGTGCGCTGTTCACTCTACTGCAACAGCTTGAGGCAGAGAGCGCGCTGAACGTCTACATGTTGGCCAAGATGATCAACCTCATGAGGCCTGGAGTCTTCACTGACATTGTGAGGGTTCATCTGCCTGCTTTCATTCAAGACAAATAGTTTTTTTCCACTTGTATTAACAAAATCAAACACACTAAAACATCATCCACAAATTATGATATTTATACTATATATCTTCAAATATAAAAGCGCTAATACATGAATACATATATGCTATATAAAATGCTGCATAATCACATAAACATGCATCAACTTACAACTCTTTATAGCATTTAATACATATAATATGGACCTATAAAATAACCCAATAATATAAAAACTTGTGAATTTTTATGCGTTTTATATATATATATATATTAATTATAATATGTATTAGAATCAAATGTGTGTATACATTTATATGTAGGGTAATAATATAATATAATTATACAAATAATTATAATCCATAATTATTAAATTTATAGGTCAAAACTAATATATATATATATGTATATATGTGTGTGTGTATATATACATATATATATATAATATAATTGTATATATGTAAAAAGGGAAATATAATTAAATATAATAATTATCCTTGGAATATATATGTAAATAATAATATATTTAATATAAATGTATATGTATATATATATATATATATATATTTATTTATTCCCTCTTTACATACATTTTGCTATATTACAGTTATATATAATACAGTAAAATTATATGTATAATGTTAAAATTTTAATAATTTTATTGGGTCTATAAAATACGTCTATATTATATTTATAGGTTAATTTTTGTTTATTTTTATGTGAATATTAATCTTTTATAGTATGTATGAGCTTTTTTATATATGAAGATATTTATGTTTGTAACGTTAGTATTTTCCATGTGTCTGCAGACTATTGGCATTTATACATTTTAAAAGAAATGTAGTGGGTTTTTTTTTTCATCTCTCTGGAGTTGGCAGCAGTTCTGATGAGGAAAAGTCAGTCATTAATAATCCTGCCCTGAGGTGGAATTAACTCAAATCCACAAGGGAAATGTAATATTTTGAGTGGTATGTTGTGGTCAAACTACCAACATGTTCGTGTTTTTGAAATTTTTTTTTTTTTGGTGGGATAGGATCAGTATCAGTTCCTCTACAAAGCCATTCTGAGTTTGGTCAGCACCCAAGACGACGAGCGAGTGCTTCAGTCCTCCGATAACAACGGCACGGTCCCAGGAGGCGTCTCGAGTGTGGCCGAGAGTCTGGAATCCTTGGTGTAACCATAGCGACGAGCCGGCACAGGAAAAAGACTTTTCAAATCAAAGAAAGCTCTTGTTTTTCCCAGTCCATCTCTGAACTGATAGCGCTCTGCTGGATGCAGCGCCGGCATTAAATGTGTGCCCTTTATACACTCCACGTTTTTATTCACTGTTTCTCTCTTAAATCACCACCTTGTGCTAATGTCTTACGTACTAATGTCTTCTCATAGAGTCATATTTATTGGCTTAAAAGCTTGTTTAAAGGGAAAACACCTTTTTTTATTTTAATAAGACTTTTTTTATTAGTCTATTTTTTAGTCTATTCAGCCACTGTTTTTTCATACAGATATACAAAGAAAGTGGCAAAAGCAGTCGTGGATAAAGGGCAGGAAATAATATTCTAATGTGTAAATAATATTTCAGCAACCACGTCGATGGACCAAATTTCTATTTATGTCTAGAATTTTATATTTGAGGCACTAGTGCTGCAAGACATGGCTGCATTTGAATAATTTAGTCACATTTGAAATGTTTTAATATTTCTGATGCCGCTGTTTTGTTATGCGTTACATACTGACACTGTTTAGCTGTACGAGATGTTTTTGTCTGTTCGTAGGATTAAACGAATCAAGAAAACACTGTTTACGCTTGGCTATTTCATATGCTTAGAAATGCAAAGACTTTATAATTCTTGTTTTTTGACAATATTTTTAAAGGAATAGTTTGTTTAATGATGTTGATATATATTTTCCACATTAACCCTAACCCTAAAAGAAAAAAATCAGCAAGGCACTTCCAATAAAAGTGAATGAGGCCAATTTGTAAACGTTAAAATACTCAGTTTTAATAATGTAAACACAAAACATAATGTGCATATCAACATGCATTCAATGTGAAAACAAATCACTCAACCTTTTCTGTGTAATATTTTTGTAAAAACCATGATACAATTTTTCAGGATTCTTTGATGAATAAAAAAAATCAAAAGAACAGCATTTATTTGAAATTTAAATGTCTTTACAGTCATTTTTTATCAATTTAATGCATCCATGCTGAATAAAAGTATTAATTTCTTTGAAAAAATCTGACCCTTAACCCTCACCTAAAGTATTTAATTTAAACATAATGTAAGATTATATTTATATATATATATAGAGAGAGAGAGAGAGAGTCATATAAATATTACATGTATCACTTTTTATTATAATAATACAAATTTAATATATATTATTATAGTGTACATGATATAAAAATTATTTGATTAAAAAATAATTCAAAATATTACTTATATAAATTAAAAATGTATTACAATGTATTGTGAAATGTATTATGCATTATTATATTTTATGAACATGGTATAATACAAAAAAGATTTTGATACAAAAAAATATTACTTATGTCAATTAAAAATGTATTACAATGTATTATGCATTATTATATATTATGTACATGTTTTAATAAATTATTTAATTGATACAATAACTATTACTTATGTAAATTTAAAAATTAATGTAAGGGCATTAACAAAATATATAAAAAAAAAAACGAAAAGAAAAATTGTAATCTACAAATTTCTGCATTTAAAATCTCAAATATTTTTCCCCATTCACTTTCATTTTAAGTTTAAAAAGAAAAAACAAGAGATGAATCAAAATGTTATTTTTAACCCAAAACACTACTTGGATATGTAGCGTTTTCATATAGCATTGTGCATTTTTTGGTACCAGGTTTTTCATGTTTTAGTTTTGTCTTTAAAGTCTCCATAATAAAATCTTGTCTAATATTCTGGTTTTCATCTGCCCTCGGGACAGACTCGTGTTGATTACAGTCTCCAGACAGCAGCCGCTTGCCTCGTGTCAGCTGTTCATTCTGAACCTGCTTTTCTTGTTAGCTCGGCATCCCGACTGCCAAACCACAAGAAGGTCAGAACAACAGTCCTTCAGTTCTCCATCTGGCGCAAGAGGTCAGGAACAGAGAACGATTCATCATCGAGACGGTGCTTCTGGCAGCGATCAGGTCACTCCTTAAGCCACTGCATCTTCAAGAACCGATTATTATAAGTCCACGGCTTAAGGGTTTGGTGACGAAGATGACAGCTACACGAGTTATGACATAATATCGCTTGTAATTATTCCTCAATTCTAATCCAAAAGGTAATTTACACAAAAATATGGGTCAAATGGCCAGACACGGTCTTGAGGGGCTACTGGTACCTTCATTTGCATTTTTAACTTCTAATAATTACAGCCCCAATTATCCTGCGCTTGGTGGCCTACTTTATAGTGACCGCAGTGATGGCCCCACACCAGAACAATGCAGACCAGGCCACCAGGCAGTCAACAAGCGCCAAAGGGGGGTGAAGGGTCATTTCCTCTCATTTCTGTCTAATGAAGACGACAAACAATAATTTAGATTGTCTGAAGAATGAATAGAAAACAATGAGAGAAAATGCAAACGTTTTATTAGACAAAAGCTAGTTTTAAATCTCTTTCTCCAGAAGTTCAAAAGAACAGTATTGATTTGAAATGGTAATATTTAAATGTCTTTACTGTCATTTTTGATCAATTTAAATTTTAAAAGTCCTTGCTAAATAAAAAAGTATTCATTTCTAAAATCTGACTGTCAGCTAATGTATAATTTGGTGAGAACCAGAAGGGCGCAAGTGACATTTTGGGTGAAATGGAGATATATATATCAAACGAAAGCTCTTGATGAGCTCTTTCTACTGCCAAAAGGACACAAGTGAATTCTTAATAATTTTGGAGTTATTCATTAGAAACCAAAAGACTTGACTCTGAACATACCAAGCCTGTTGGTTTTTGTTTTGGCCCTCCTGTAAAGTTGGTGAAATGTCACTTATGCCCTTCTGGTTCTCACCCCTCGATATTCTATCTATCCATCCATCCATCCGTCTGTCTGTCCTAATTTGTTTTCTATAATTTTTCTGACAACTTACATATTTTATTATGTAATAAAAGAGGGGGGTAAAGGGTACAGTAATATCCTGTCATTTCTGTCTTATGAAATTGTTAAACAATATATTTGATATTTATTTGAAGAAAAACAAGAAATATAAAACGAAAGGAAAACTTTTATTGGACAAAAGCTAGTTTTGAACATTTATATTAACGTTTGAACAAAAAAAATCTAAACGAATTCACTACAGTGCCAAGTTTCACATTTAAGAAATATTCAATTGACATTTTGACTAATTTTATCAGTAGTAATCAACATGACTTCATGTTTAGCATAAATATGATGCTACTGCTTGTTTTGAACTCAACTGAGGCAGACGTTCATTTAAACCCTTTGAGCACAAGGGTAAGAAAACGCTGACGGCGTATAAAGTTCATTTTCAACGCCAGGAAGTGGAAATGGGATGGTTGCGTGTCAAAGTGCTTTGTGGGAGTTTATTTACACTCCCAATTTATGACAACACTAATAAAAATTAAACCTCCTTGTCAACGTCTACAGACTGTCTAAATCTACTTTTGATGGATGTTTGGGTTTCATTACACACGTGTGGCACAGAAGGAGTGAGTTTCGAGATCTTAAGGTGTGTGGTTACTCTGATAAGGTGCTCTTGGTGATGCACTGGAGACCCTCCTCCTGCAGTCTCTTCAGAACCGGACTGTAGATGTTCTTCGTCATCGGCACCACGAGTCCTTTAGTGGTCAGTTCATCTGCAGTGGTACATCACACACTCACAATAAGTCAAAGTGACTTTATAAGAACAGCGTCTGGGCATTGTGTGGAATTACTGGAAATGTTATATTTTAACATTTAATATTTTAATAATAGTGCAAAATTAAGAACAGATTGCAAACTACTGATGTAATTTCAGTGGAATGAAACCAGGGATGCATGAAATATCACTGATATATCAGTATCAGAGAATAAATGTGCCTTTTTAATGTCCAATAATTAAAATAGGTATATTTAAGATGTAATTATATATTTAGGCCAATAAATTACATCCAAATGATCACTGGACTTCACATTATTGCAAGCTGGTCTACCTGTTATTAAATACAAATAAAAAAAAATGTTAAATTAAAATATGATGAGCATTGCCTTATATTTGTAAAAGTTATCTTTTCCATTTAAACTTCAGAAAAAAATAAAGTTTAGAAATGAAAGTTGACCACTGACTGTTTAATAGCAGGCCTATGTTAAATGTTTGTGGGGGGAACTTATTTTTTGCAAAAAAATTAGTGGGAAAAGGGAATGTACTGATATTTTTTGCATATATTTTACACTTTTATGTATATTCCCAATAAATATATCTTTATTTAAAAAATAAAATGGTAAAATATAACAAATAAAATTAAAAAGAAATAGTTTCATTTGATACACACAGAGAACTTGATTTTTTTTTTATTAATCTCACAAAATGTAGTATAATATATAATATATAATATTGTGCAAAATAACACTTCAGATTCAAAGTATAAATAATCTGTATTGGCCCAACTTTATATATTGGCGTATCTCTAAAGGAAATTGACTGTTAAATGAGCATTTCAAGTTGAGCACTGACCGTTGAGCACCATACGGGCTGCAATGGCTGCTGGGTAGCCCACGGCTTTGGCCATGGCTGAGTATCCATTGGGATCCCCGTAGACTACCAGACTGATGTGTTTGGTCTCCAGCTCGCCCGTTGGGTGTCTGATTCCAACATCGTTCCTCATGACGATCATATCGCGCTCACCTTTAGCTGCGCGAGACAGAACGATCCAAAAACAGCAATCATTTATCTGGAACTGGACTTCAGGATTAGTTCAAGACATTTAACAGCATTACGGATGGATGATCTTCAGAAACACATGCTGAATCTTCAAAGCTCGCTGAATCTCATGACATAAGACAGAACGACATAAAGGAAGAGGAACTGGCTCTTTACCGAAAGACAGTTTGGCCTCCAGATGCTTAGCAACTGCTGCTAAGATGGTGTCAGCGTGAGGAACCGACTCTTCACTGAGCATCCCGAGCCTGATGGGAGTCATCCAGTCAGTCAGCTATACTGTATGATCTTACTTTAATATTTATATATACAAAGATACTTACACACACATACATATATATATATATATATATATATATATATATATATATATGCATGCCTATATAATGTTTGTTGTATATAAATATATAACATTATTGATAAAAATGTTGAAAAAGCTCCCCTCTTATATAAGCAGTGCTGGGTAGATTACTTACAAATTGTAGTCAGTTACTGATTACAAATTCATTGATGAAAACTGTAGTCAGTAATGTAATATAAATTGCTAATTTTAGGTCATGTATTCCAGTATTCTGGATTACTTTTAGATTACCTTTTATCTAACTTGCTTATTTAATTGGGATTATTGTTATAAAAAAACAAAAACAGAGAAATAAAATATAAGACCAATAATCAACACCAGAAAACACAAATTTGTTGTTAAATTATTGAAATAATAGCTTTAAATCTCAGGGGGACTTCAAGTAAATATTTTAGGTCAAAGCGGTCTGACTGACAAAAAAAAGTTTAGAAATCCCTGCATCACATAAACAAACATTAAACAGCAATGACTTGGTCAAAGTTTTCTAGGTTTGTAAATATTTTTGTTAGTTATACATCGGCAGTGTTTAGTTACTTGTGTAATTATTCATCTCATACATGGTGTAATTGACTGATTCTGTCCCCAAATTCAGATGCATGGGTTGCAAATGAATTTAAATGGCCATTCTATATTATGAAAACTCACTGTATTCAATATGACACGCAGTAGAATTTTTAGAAGGTAAACATTAAAAGAAAAAACTAAGAACTAGGGAGAATCAATACATTTGTAATCATGTAATCCATAAAAAGTAACTGTAATCTGATTATGAGCATTTTAAAAATTAGATTATTTAAAAAATGTAATTTTAAAATAATTTAATTTCAAGTGAAACATTTTTGGAATCTGATTACATACTCCAGATTACATGTAATCAGTTACTACCCAGCACTGTATATCAGTAGGTACTGTGATGGAAGTAGTGGTCGACCGATATTGATTTTTTGACAGCCAATGCTATTATCTTAGAAAGCAGGTTAGTCGATGACTGATTTTTTATAATTCATAATTTTTAACAATAATTTAATTTTGTTGCAATTACAATTATAATAACAATTATTTATTTATTTTAATTAATATTTAAAATATATTAAATAATTTGACAATTAATTTAAAAATGTGTAAAATAAACATACTTATACTTTATATGACAACTTGTTGATTCTGGAATCCTATAACAGTATTTTTCACAAATAAATAAAACAACATTTTTTTTAAATACATTTAAAAATACATAAATAAAAAGGAAGTAAACACTGTAACCAACAGTGCACTCTAATAGTGCACTCTGTAATCTGGGAAGTAATCCAAGTCTGCAAGGTTTGTCAAATTAAATGTTTAAATACATTTGTAATCATGTAATCCATAAAAAGTAACTGTAATCTGATTATGAGCATTTTAAAAATTAGATTATTTAAAAAATGTAATTTTAAAATAATTTAATTTCAAGTGAAACATTTTTGGAATCTGATTACATACTCCAGATTACATGTAATCAGTTACTACCCAGCACTGTATATCAGTAGGTACTGTGATGGAAGTAGTGGTCGACCGATATTGATTTTTTGACAGCCAATGCTATTATCTTAGAAAGCAGGTTAGTCGATGACTGATATATATGTATATATATATTAAATACATTTAAAAATACATAAATAAAAAGGAAGTAAACACTGTAACCAACAGTGCACTCTAATAGTGCACTCTGTAATCTGGGAAGTAATCCAAGTCTGCAAGGTTTGTCAAATTAAATGTTTATTAGACATTCAAAGATTTGTTTAAATGATATACATGCGTATTTGCTGAATGCTGACAAAAATGAGAAAGTATTATAAAGCCTTTCTATTACTAATAATATAAGCAATTGTTATAATACTTTTTTGTATACCTTTTAATTTCTTAGTTTAACAGTTCTGATTATTAGACAGACTTCTGTCCGTATTAGGCAGAACTGTTAGATGGTGAGAACAAACAATAAAGAGGGAGAATGTGAGCGCTGTGTGCTCCGGTGCTGCCATTCACAGCGCCGCCAAAATAAGTCTCGATCATAAACGACTAAACAGAAAAACATATCGGCCGATGTCGATATTTGAAAAATGTCAAATATTGGCCGATATATCAGCCTTGGCGATATATCGGTCGACCACTAGATGGAAGTCTATAAAATATTGTTAGTGAACTTCTAAACCCACCATCTGAGACTCTGCATTCTGAAGTCATCCCGTCCGACCCGCTCATAAACGGTGTCTTCAAAGAAACTGCTGCTCACAGATGTGGACAAGCCAATCTGCCTACAGAGAAGCTCTTTCTGTGTACGAGACAAAATGGCATTTACATATATATATATATATATCATTATTGTTTTGTATATTTTTGTTTTCCATTTCTTTTAAAAGTTTTTAAATATGTCTATATTTATTAATATAGACATACTTTTTTATTCATTTTTATTTCAGTTTTAGTTATTTTAGTACAAGTTGAAGTAAATAAAAAAGAGAAATGTTTTTGAGGAATGATTCATTCAGTGTTATTTTAGTATCATTTTTAATATATTTTTTTTTTTTTTTTTTGTATAAATTTTTTTAAAAAAAAAAAAAAAAAAAAAAAAAAAAAGACATTTTATGAGTTGGATGGAAAAAGGTCCATAAATCCAGACCCATGAGACAGGAGAAGCCGTGTGTCCCAGCAGTGGACAGGGCTCCGTGTTGATGAGTCCCAGTTTGACGAAGCCATTCATTGCAGAGGAGAAGCCCTGAAGACACATGCAGTTCATGATGACACAGGCACTGGAGCAACACTGAGCTTACAACTCATCTTTACATCTCATTAGCATGAATACCCTGAAGCGCAGAGTTCCTCTGATGAGCGTGTGCGCAGATTCAATCCCGTACGGCTGTGCGTATTTGGTGCTGTCCCAGTTGGGGAAGCCCTCCAGGTTGAAACCGGGCATGAAGTCCATGGGCTTTGTGACATCCAGGAGAGCCCCGCCGGGAGGAACACTGACCACCTGAACAGACAACCCACATTGTTTGTAAATGTTTTTATTATACTGTTATACGGCTTTCGGGTGGCTGATTGTTAGACACTGCAGAATTTTTAGAGGTTATTTTTTAAGTGTCACCTGATTGTCTTTCAGATAGATGGCTGGACTGATGGTGTTGAGCAGGACGCCGTACGGACTCCAGCTGAACTTATAACGCAGTGGGTTGTCCGAGCACTCTGGGGCAGGAAGACCACCACAAAAAGAGCTGTACGATTCCACCTGGCAAGAAACAGTGATTAAAATTTGGAGTAACTACAAGAGCACCATGTGATTTGACCAAATGTTCAGAAAGACCACGCTCTGCCTGACCGCTAACGAAGTAAAAATGAACATTCAAGATGCTGTGAACGTTTGTTGAGGTCTGTCAATATGTCTTCCAGACGTGGTGATGAGTGCACCAATGGTGTGACAGTATGTCACTCTATCGCAAATACCCATCAACACATCCAAGTGGTAAACCTACAGTGCAACCGTCTGCCTTGGCCTGGTCGATGCACTCCATGGCCAACATGTGATCAATGCCAGGGTCCAGACCCATCTCATTGACGATGGTGATGCCAGCATCCTCAGCACTTGGGAAACAACAGCCAATCATGGTGAAGCCACACGCACATATTAATGAAGTCAACCAGAGGCAGTTTAAAATCCAATAAGGTCAAAGAAACATACATTCAGTGACTGATTTTAACTTAAGTGACAGTTCTCCAAAATATAAAAAAATCTGTCTGATTCATAAATTGTTGAACTTTTCAATTAATTAGCTGATCCAGTTAACAAAACCAATCTAAATGATTCACACATAAATCTGGTTCTTGAGTTCAACTCACCCTCTTAATTTGTTTGGAACAGTTGATTCAATGACATGATGCTCATTTTTTGTCCTATCTATTCATTTTTTATTATTTTTTTTAATACCTCTTATGATGACCATGTTTGTCATGTCTGTATTACAATTAATTTTTTGAGGGAGCGTAGTCAAAAATGCATGGAGGACAAAACTCTCCTAAAAAATTTTTTTTTTTAATTAATTAAGAAAAATCCTTACTAAAAATACTAATTTTTAAGTAGTTTGACAATCTTCTATTTTTATTTCTTAAAAATATATATAATATTAAGCATAGTATTTGAACAAAACTGCTTCACTGCTTATTAACGTTTGACATGTTTGCTCTCAAAATCAAGAAGACCAACAAAATTCAAGTGCACCAAAACAAAAGCAAAAACAACAAAAACAAAAACAAACAAAACAAAATCAAAGCAAAGCAAAACAAAAAAAACACATCAAAACAAAAACAAAAGCAAAAGAAAAAACACAAAACAAAACAAGAGCAAAGCAAACAAAAGCAATAATATAACAAACCAAAAACAAGACAAATAACAAAAAAACTAAAACACACACACACACACACCAACAAAACAAAAGACAACAAAAACAACAACAAAAAACTAAACAAAACCAGATTCTCTTCTCCCTCAGGAGAAAATTTTGACTTTTTTCATTTTTGGGTGAACTATCGGTTTAAAATTTCTAAGAAACAGGAAGTTCCCTACTTCTTCTGAAGCTCCTTCATGGCTGGGCTCAAGTAACTGGCGGTCACCATGTTCACCTTCATTTTAATGCAGTGCTTAGCTACTTGTGGATGAAATGCATACGGCAGCATGCTAGATACCAAAAACAACAAAAGAAATGACACAAATTAGCTTTAAAGGTGTACGTTAAAGTAGAAATGCTAATGTCAAAGCATAATAAAGTGAATGAAGTTTATGATTATGCCTGATGACGATGTCGTGGTCTTTGATCAGAGACTCGAGGTGGCTTTCCTGGCAGGTGATGTCCAGCATCACGGCGATGGTGTTGGTGTACTTGGCTGCCATGTCCTCAGCCTGATTCAACAGATTTGATGCTGCGATGCAAAGATTATTTTTTAAAGAATTGCGACTGTAAATTCTACACTGCATTCCAGACGGATTTTGAGGCGGGAACATACCCACTGTGACCTGAGTGCCAGCGTCTCTGGTGAGATACTTGATAACTGGCCCAGACACATAGCCTGCACCCAGCAAAAGCACCCGCTTCATTCCTCCTTTCTTTAGAATCTGCTCCGATTCCCTGTTTGCCAGATGGTACAGCCATTACTACTAACACACACACACACACACACACAAGGGGTTGAACGACTTCTGATTTTTTGAAGTCGACTTCTATGTGATGAAAGTCGAGTCGAAGTCGACTAGTCGCTGATGACGTCATTAATGAACAAATAAGTCTGGAGCTGTGA